GTCCTTCCACAAAGAATTAGATCATATGTGTAAATGCATCAGCTAGATTGGAATTACAATTTATTTTGCATTTTTCATTAAGTAGACTGAGAGCCTGAAGTTGACGTAATCGACGAAAAAATCGCTGGAAAATCCTAGAACAAGGTTTAAACCATTTCTTGGTGAGTTATTTCATGATTGCAGGTAGGAATTCCAAATTAAAATTGAACTAACCAATCAAATCAAAAACTGCCCAGAAAAATCAATAGCTATATAAACCTTTCCTTCTTCCTTTGTTTCTTGTTTGGTAAAAAATAAACACCTAAAAGAAGTCAAATGTGAACAAAGACTAAAGATTACAAACCCCTAAAACCCTAAAATCCAAATTCCAACCCATTCCAACAAAGCTTAACAAAATTCAAGAACTAAAAGAAAAGCACCATAATTTGGAAAGCTAGGACAAAAAAATAGAGAAATAGAGGTCGGGGGAAGAGAAATGGAAGGTCCTTGTGCTTGCCTTGGCTTCGTAGATGCGAGGGCCATGGTAGGCGAGGATCTTCTCGCCCTCGGAGTAGAGGCTGGAATTGGAGGGAGGAGCGTCGCCGTTGGAGGTGTCGCCGTCGGTGACGGAGTCGTCTCTCGATGAATTTCCCATTTTTGGCAGAGCAACGGTGGCCGGAGGGGTTCAGCTCCTTCTATCAGTTGAGAAGTTGAGAGCAGGGAGGGAGAGAGAGGAGCGGTCACACTGTTGAGCTTTGAGAGTGACCGGTTGCAGCGGGTGTTCAAATTAAAGTGCAAGATGCGATCCGATTTGTCACTATATTAAACTTGAGCCTCTACTTCGGCCCAGAGAGGCCCATGAAAACTACTGCAATATAAATGGTTCTTCAAATTAATAAATTGTCCGGCGATATATTTATTTGAGCTCATCAAATAAGATAGAGTTAAATATTATTCTTAAAGTGAAATATAAAATTTAAAGAGTTAGATGATTTTTTAGAAATCCTCTTAAGATGGAAGTGGTTTGGATTGATAGCCGTAAGCAATAAAAAAAAAAAATTACTTTGTCGTAATTAATGAGAAAAAAAGTTTAATCACATGATGTCAAACAACATGGAAAACTATGATTATACTAAATTTAACTATAATTTTTTTTTAATAGAACTGTCAACACTCAAAATTAGTAAGGTTAACAAAGACCAAAGTGGTTGTGTGTTGGTATTTGATGGGCTTGGGGTTTAGAGTAACAAGAATTGAACAACAATATTTAAGTGGTTCACCTTTGAAAAATGGGATGTCCGTTGAGTCTCCCTTATATATTGAATAAGAGGTTACAAATAGTGGTTAGCTTAATACAATCTCTTTTTTCTCTCAATTTGTCCTTTGAGTCTCCTTAATCCCCAGCGGCGGCGTCAATTTCGTGATAGAATTTTTAATACCTACGCAAAGAAGGTTAAAATCACACCAAATACTTGCAAGAGTACAAGGTAGTTGTAGTATATATGCTCATGCAATGTCGTTTTCCACAAGAATTATTCAAATAATTTATGTAAAACCAATTCCTAATTAATTACTTAAAAAGGGAATTTGAGAGAGGTGATTATGAACTTTTGTAATATTAAAAATGAACTTTAATTAAAAACTAAATAAGAAATTAGTCCAAAATTTAAAAGATAAAAGAAAAGAGTTTTTGAAAACCAATTTATAAAAGCACTAGGGTTCCAACTCACTCTAACAATCATATGTATTTTTATCAATAACTTATGATTTACACATGCAACTTTGAAGGTTAGGTTTTCCTAAAATAAGTCCTACTTAGAACCTCCAATATAGAACGTATATCTAACATGCAATATGTCTGGACTTTCGAATCGAATATGAAAATGAAAGACTTATTCAGATTTGTAAAAGCCCTTGGAAAAACCATGCAACGCTTAAGATGTGGTGTTCATCCTAAGTGAAATTATAATTATTAATCACAAGAAGCCATTGCCAATTTCAAAGAACATTTCGACCAAAATTGCATCAAATTACTTTTCTAAAGATCCTAATGGTGAATAGGCATTAAGACAATTAGATAGTTTAAGCACAGTAATTAATAATTCAAGGCATGCATGCATGCATAAAATACAAGCAATTAAATAATAAAAAAAAACATATTCATGCTAAGGCTCAAGGCTTCACACTAGCAAAACATATTAGTTAGGCATATTCATAATAAACTCAAAGTAAATATTATTATGAAGGAGAAGATTGAAAACACCTTAAAGTAAAAGTCTGAAATTCTTCAAGACCCTAGCCATGTTTCAATCTCCCCAAATTGCATAGTCAAAGAGAGAAAGCTAGGGCCGGCCAAAGACCTTATTTATACTACATAAGTTATCCAGTCATTCCTAATACAAGTCTTAAAATCCAACCAGGAAACCAAATAAAGATAAAATATACTAGAAAACAAAATCCCAATTTAACTAGGAGAATCTGCAATGAATCTGTCTAGCCACATTTTAGACCTAAATCTCCTCCAAATCCAGCCCATGATAACTTGTTTTAAAGATTAGAATAATCTGAATACATCTCCAAAATGGGCCGAATCCAAAATAGACCATCTTGGGCTCCAAAATTTCGAAATCAAGCCCAAAACGTCACTTTTCCTGCACTGTGCACTGCTTCTTTATTTTATCGCCAGAAAACAACCGCTTGGTTGAAATCACAACTGGAATTAATCACTTCATATTGCAAATATAATCATAGCTTCGAATTCACCTCTAACTAAAAAGAAGTTAGTTCCACATGTTCGCAAAACAAAGATAACTAAACTTAAACATTAAAAACAAAGATAGAATACACCTAGAAACACTCCAGGTGGCTCCTCCTTCCTTCCTTGCTGCCAACAATGGGGATTTGTGTGAATTTAGGCTCTTGAGGTGTGGTGGATGGTGTGATGTGAATTTGTGGTAGAAGGTGGTGGTTTTTGAGTGTTGTGGCATCAAGTATTTATAGGGTGAAGGGGAGGCACAAATTTGGGCTGAAAAGGAGAGGAATTAAGACTCCAAATCACCAAAGAACAAGGATACTTTCAATTAGATTCCAAGGAGGACAAGGAATGGTCATTGTGGCAGATTCTAGAGCTTCTAGAAGGGTTAGATGTGGCATAAACTTAATGCACGAAAATAGGGCTTCTAGAACTTGATATTTAGGTGATTTAATGTGAAAAGGAGTCCTCTTTGAAGTTGGAATTAAGGTAGGAAAAGATTAGGATAGGATAAGATAAGATAAGGTTGGATAAGGTTTGGATAAGATAAGGAAATTTGGATAAGGTTCCTTATTTCTTTCTATTTCCTTATCTTCTTTGCATTTGGACTTCTTTCTCCAGATTTTTAGTCTTTCCTAGCATCTCTTGACTTCAATTTCGTCCATCCACATTGCTCCATAGTTAAGCTATCCAATCCGTGCCCAAAACTGCTCCAAATAGCCTCAAAATGCACTTTCTTGCTCCTTTTGCCATTAGGACCTAAAAACATACGAAAATAGCTTAAAAGACTAAAATAGATAGTAATTAAGTAACTAAATGCAAGGAAACAACATAACTAGGTAGCATAAATATGCTCCTACCATTGAACCAACCCAATTATATTTTACAGTTCATTTTTTTCTTAATTAAAAAATAATATTATAAAGCATAAAAAAATGGATAAAATACAAATAACTAAAGGGAAATTTTATTTAAACTCGTATAACCCTTTTTTACACCTAATTTACTCTCCACACCCATAGTATTTTTAATTAAACTATTAATATCTTTTTAAACCCAATTCAATATGTAAATTTATCTTTACATCCATACTATTAACTCGTTGAATTTGTCTTCTTTCTTGTGAATTTGTGATAACTTTTTCTTTTACAGAATAACCAAATCAATATGATTTAGATTCTGATTTAGGGGTGTACTATCCACACAACTCATTTTACTTCTCATACGCTCCTTGATAATTTTTGTCCGTTGATCTTCTTCAGTTCATCCAATCTGATGGTCGAAAATTAAAAAGGTGTGTAAGAAGTAAAATGGGGTGTGTGGATATCACACCTCCCGATTTATGCATTCCCTAATTTTGGTTTTTATTGAGTTTGATTTCGAGACTTAAAAGGTCAGAGGCTACTTGTAGTTCTTCTTTAATCTTGTTATATTTTGCATTTGTTAGAAAAGCATTAGTTGCAATTTTGTTTGACAGGTTTATATATACAAGTTTAGGTATGGGATAGATGTCTGCCCCAGCACCCTTTGCGGTCATATTGTTGCCAATTCCATCAACAATTTTACTCTCTTCATTGTGTCCTTTTGGGCAATTACAGCTTTTATATTAACATTCGGCTTCAAATCTTTGTTACAATGTTCAAAAAAAACTTGGCCGGTGATTTTCACACTCGATTGAATCTCTTGCACTCCTCCCTTTGAGTGCAAAACACTTAAAGATGATTGTCAAAATTGCTATCCAAAAGTTTCTGTTTTTTTTTTTCCTTTAACTTTTTACCACCTTTTAGCAATAACCCATAATTTTTCTATAGGTGCCTATGCTTTTTTGCCATTTGAATTTAGTTTTATGAATATTTACATAAATATCATTAATCTGGTTTGTGCTTGACCAATTTTAACTAGTACATAATCTACATCTTTTATCTCATTGCCTTGACGTTGGAGTGATCGCCTCAATTTTCTATAGGATGGACTGGGAAGTCGTATGCCTTCGTGGACTTGTGATTTTTATGTGCCCCACATTCAGTCACGAATCTTATTTTTTCTTCACTTTCTAAGTTTCGTAGAAGAAAAATTAGATTGGTGATAGTAAGAATTTGATTATTAGATATGGGTTTATTGATAAAATTTAGTTTTATTGTTAATTACATCTTATACTGTATAGTAATTAGTAATTTGTAAAAAAAGACACTTCATAATTAAAATTTAAATTGAGTGTAAAAAGAATTTATATGAGTTCAAATAAAATTTCTCATAACTAAAATACAAGTGCGAAAATCATTACTCTTATTTATATTAAATTATAATATTCGACAATGCACACTTGGAGATTCTTTACATGGTAATGAAAATTGGAGACAAATAAATGAAATGAAAATAATATGAATGGTCTTATCTTTAAGATACATATTAATCAACCAAAAAATATAAATGAGAAAATAAGTAGAGAATATTCCTAGTTTCTATTTTTATGATCACTCATGCTTATTGATGGGTGTTGTCTGTAAATTTGTTTCCAGTACCAGGGCTTGGGCCCGAGTCCTTAATTCCGCCAAGAGTCCCAACATTTGTGAATTTGTTTCCTGTACCAGGGCTTGGGCCAGAGTCCTTAATCCCTCCGAGAGTCTCAACATTTGTGAATTTGTTTCCTGTACCAGGGCTTGGACCCGAGTTCTTAATTCCACCAAGAGTCTCAACATTTGTGAATTTGTTTCCCGTACCAGGGCTTGGACCTGAGTCCTTAATTCCACCAAGAGTCTCAACATTCGTGAATTTGTTTCCAGTCCCAGGGCTTGGGCCAGAGTCCTTAATCACTCCTAGAGTCTCAACATTTGTAAATGCGTTTCCTGTACCAGGACTTGGACCCGAGTTTTTAATCCCTCCGAGAGTTTGTTTGTTCGTAAACTTGTGCCCCTCACCGGGACTAGGTCCCGATTGCTTGATGGCTCCAAGTGATAACCCGTCAAAGAAACCTTCAGTTGCTCCAAAACCAGAGCTTCTATACTTCATGATATTCAAGGGCCGAGCACATACTGCAATGAATGTAGAGTTGATCAAAAGCAGCAACAAAATGAAACTGAAGAACTTGGTAGTCATGTTGGAACTGGAGAGAGAGATAGTGAGAGAGAGAGAGAGAGAGAGAGAGAGGCTCTGCAATTGTTGGTATGGAGTATTTGATGGTGTTTCCTATTTATAGTGAAGTAAAATAGACTGGGATGATGAGGCTTCTTTGACTGAGATTCTTGGCATGCAAATAACATCAAATAAATTTCAATCAAACGTGACATTTCCAATCCTCATAGTCATGTGTTGGAATTAAGAAGCAACAAGGATGGTTCTTAATCTAAAGTCAAATGGAGAAAAAAGAATTTATAAAGTTGAACATTGTGAGTCCAAGTTAGAATAGAAAAATGATAGTATATGATGGAGTTAGTTAACGGTTTTGATCATGGGAGGCAGATTGTTTGCCCTCCTATTTGGGTGCCCTTCCCATCCATTTCTATTTATGCGGTCACGGTTAAATCACGTCAATATTTTATATTCCTATTACTTTTTGTCTTATTATCTCTATAAAAAAAGGAGGGGATGAAAAGGACACCCAAACAGGAGGGTAGACAATTTGCCTCCTTGGTTATGTGTATATTGGAGCACTGCCACATAATATTATTAGTTTATCAATTCTCATATAAAAAAGAAATACACGTATTATAATTTAAGTAAAGCAATAACAGACTCGTTTGGAACTATTTTTAAAATAGCTAAAAACGGTTATTGTGAAATGTTTTTGAAACCAATATTCGTAAAAATACCAGTGAATTTTGGAAAAGCACTTGAAGTGCTTTCTACAAGAAGCGCATAATTGGAGCTTCTTATAGGAAGCAGTTAAGTGTTTTTAGAACCCAGAAACATTTCTGTGAGCATTTTAAATGCTTTTGGAATACATAAACATTTTCTCCAAAACGCTTTCAATCGTTTTAAAAACATTTTTAATCGTTATAAAAACACTTTTAATCGTTTTAGAAACACTTTCAAACGAGTTCAAAATCATACCATTGTTTTCCGAGTCCACCAAAAAATTAGACGAATCTTATTTGAGTCCAGCCGGCCGCCCAAAAGCCACCAGAATTTCTTGCAGCTCGGGGAGTCAAAGACCGTGCATTGTTTGAACTCCTTTTTAGGGAAAATATTTTGTTTGAATTCCACGGCTGCATAGTGTAACGTGACTTGAATGGATTATTAGGTAGAGAAAAAAATTGATTTGTTAGGATTTTCATGGCCAGTCAATTTCACTAGTTGTAGTATATCAATTGGCACCATGGTACACTAGCAGTATATCAATTGGCACCATGGTACACTTGCTGCATTTTAAATTTAATTTTATCAAAATAAGCAACATGGTAGCTGCGTGATACGATACATATGTATATATTCAAATACATATAGTGATACACGTACATTGATTTAGACACCATTTAATTCATATTTTACAATTGGAAATTTTAAGAGAACTTTGTTTTTCAACGACCATGCGTACATATATTGAAAAAGAGAAATTTGGCTTCGAAATTTATTATAATTGTTCTAATCAATTTACTTATGGATTAGATCCGTTTGGTATCCTACTAAAAAAATTTATCGTTTTCAAAAATATTTTTTAAAATCATTTCTTAAGAACTGTTTTTCAGAAGACTCAAAAACTTATTCGATATGAAGGTCAAAATTGCTTTTCAACCTTAAACAAATTAAAAAAATAAGAAAAGAGAGAGAGAAGAGGGAGGATAAAAAAAAAAAAGGAAGAGAGATAATCGAGAGTGAGGGACACAAAGAAAGCTTAGGCCTCAGGGAAATGATCAAAAGAGAGAGGAGAGAAATGAAGAAGATGGAGGAAAGAGGAAAACCATTATAGACAGGAAGAGAGAGGAGAGAGAGGGAGGGAGGAGAGAAAATAAGAAGAGACTAGATAGAAAAAGAAGAGGAGAGGAGAAAAATAGAGAGCAGTTTAAAATTTGACATTTTGTGTTTTTCATAAGTATGCTAATTTTTTTTTAAATTGGTTCTGAGTTCATTTTTTTGAAAAATAGTCCAACCAAACAAGGATTATTAACTGAAGACTCAAAAACTATTTTTGAGTTAAAAATAAAAATAGATTCAAGTTGAATGTCAAACAAACCCTTAATTTCTTACATTTTCAGAAAAATATTTGATAATGACATATTTTGAATCGATAAATACATACTTCAATCTAAAAATCATCCCAGCAACCTAGCTTGAGTTTAATAAAAGGGTAATGCTAGAAGACCAAATTTTTTAAGAAGACCAAAATTTTAATCAAAATTTGCATACCAAATAATGTGTCACCAATAAAAAAATAAGCACGTTAATCGACATTTAATTAATAATTCAATCATTTCCAACAACATCATTCAATTTGTAAATTCAATTTAAATATTTGATCCCTACCGTTTATAAAAACCTAGCTCAGAGAGCTTAAACGTAAGCATTAGAAAAGTGAGATTGTCATGCTACGTGGAAGCTTCCAAATTTATGTCCAAATGCGTAACCATTCTTATGTTACAAACTTTAATTATCATATCTTACCTTGCCCACCATTATTGACAAACCAAACGGAAGCATGCATCCTCATAATTGTCACTAGAAACTAATGTTATTCGAATGAGCAGTGCAATATTTACTATCTATTTATACTATTTTTCTAATAGACGTAGGTCTCACAAATACATGTGGACTCATATATATTAGAAAAATGGTACAAATAGATAGTAAAAATAGTATTTTTATATTTGAAGCCTTCTGGTTTAACTCAAGTAGCGAGAGAAAAAAAGTTGTTAAAATACAAGCGACATTTCGAATTTAAGAAGGGGATGGTTTGGGTCCGTGACAGGTGAGTTGAATAAAAAGACTTTAATCACCAAATTAAACCTATCACCTACACATATTTTTCTTGTTTCTTTAAGCATTGTAGAAAGGGAATAGACGAAATTAGGTAGTTGACGACAATGACTCATGCAAGACACCCTATCACTACCAGTATAATAAGCCTTATCTTTATATAGCCCACCCATGCGGACCCATTTTAGTTTTTCAAATTGAAAGCTCAATCCATGGCAGCCCAGTCCGGCCCACCGAATAATGTGGCCGAAATGGATGGACCACACGATGAATGAAGCATTCAAATATTAAAAAAGAATTATCACTTAGTACTACAGTTTAATGATATTCTTCTTTACTTCTAAATGAACAATTTTAGATTTAATTTTTACTAAAGATGAATTTGAATCACATTCTTATTAATCTATTATGAAGTTAAAACCTATCATTTTTATCTTAATATAAATAATATCGTTTTCTCGAAAAAATTAATACAAACAGAGAATAAAGATCAGCCGACATAAAAATGCTCCACCCTTCCAAAAGAAGAAAGATTTCTCGGTTAATCAGTTGACAGACATTACATCTCTTCATTGTCTAATCAATCAATATTCCTCACTGCCCTTCTTTATGTAAAATATTATTAATGAGGGAGATTCAAAACTATTACAATAATTTAAAAGATGAGAGAATTTCGAATCGGTACGCATGAATAGAATCTCAACATCATATCCATTACAATATTGGACCACATACATTCTTCACTGCCACGACCATTATATTCTTATAGTTCTAGCTGGACTTCTTCTTTTTTTTACTGTTTTTTTTTTTTTCACTTTATCAGTTGTCCCAAAGCCGCTCTAGCTCTGCAATTTGAAATTTGAAGAGATTTTTGTGCGTATCAAAAATATTAGTCATGTGGCATTCCCACCACGGTAGACGAGTATGTTGCATGGTAACTTCAACAAATGACTCGCGAAATAACTTTTGTCTTATTAAAGGAAGTGTTATTGGTATTCTAAAAATTTTATTCTACACTCTTCACGAGTATATTTTTCTTTCTAAATATAGAAAGTTTGGAGTGTAGAGTGAGAATTTTGGAATGCTAATAACAATTCCCCTTATTAATTAAAAGAGACCAATTTTGCTCACTGCTATAATTATAGTGTATGTTTATCATATACCTAATTAGTGTCACGTGTCATTTTACTTAATTTTAGTTAACTTTCACATTAAATATTATTTTTTTAATTTTTAAAAAGAATTAACTAAGGTTAAGTAAAAAAATATGGGACTTGGATCCTCTTCTGAGCCCAAGGAGAGGATCCTCCTGACCAAATAACTTGGGCCGTTGGATGAAAATCTAATGGCTACAAACAGAGAGGTCATTTTAAAGTTATAACAATTATAACCGTTAAATTTTCATCCAAAGGCCCAATTCCTTTGGTCAGGAGGATCCTCTCCTTGGACTCAGGAGAGGATCCAAATCCAAAAATACGTGATTGATGATTATTTGCATGATGAGCATACATCATAGCTTAGCTTACAGTGGTGGGCAAAAATGCTCTCCAATTAAAATATAGTTGGAGAAGCTATAAATAACTTTTGATCTTGGAACGAATCCTCTGTCCCTCCTCGTTTTGAAGGGAACAGAATTATCGTAGTTCAAGTTCATAGCGTTAATTATCCTCAAAACTCAACCCAATTTCTTGGAGTATAATTCCTCTGATCTTTTTTTTTTTTTTACAGCAGACCAGAGCAGCAATGGAGTGGGACTTCAAGGACAGCGACCTTGCTGCTTTGGTGGGGTCTAGCATCTCACAAACCCAGATGAAGAATAAACCAGCTGAATCTCTAGGATTTGATATCAAGAAATTGGAGGAGGACCCAATGAAGGTCTCATCATCCAGAAGGATTAATGGTGATAACAATGGAAGTGATCATCTGAAAGTTCTATGCTTGGTCAACGGTTGTAGGCCGGACCTCAGCCGTTGTCGGGAATATCATCGGTGGCACAGAGTCTGCAAGCTCCATTCCAAGACCTCCGTTGTCGTTGTCAGGGACGAACATATTTAAATAAAACAATTAGACTGTAATTTTTTACCAAAAACAATTGATTAAGCATGTTGAACTGTTCATCACCTGCTGCACTGCTGGCACAATCATTTGTTTTGTTTTTCCTTTTCCTTTTTTTTTTTTTTCAAGGTTTTAATAATTTTTAATCTTATAAGATTTTGATAAAATTACGACGGAAGAACTACATTCATTTTTAGAGAATATAATGATTCATTTTCAATTGTAGAGATTATCTTGATAAAACAAGTCAATTTTAAAAATTGTTTGTTTAAAAACTCTATAAAAACAATGTGCATAAATATGAGACAAATACACGGTAACCATAATAACTATATCCTTTTACAAGGGCACGAGGACAAAAACTTACGTTTATCTTCTTGATCTTGAAACAGAAAATAGGGGACCACAAGATGATGTAGGCTGTAAGTATCTAGGTGCCAAAATGGCAGAGCAAATAATTAGAACAAAGATTACACTATTAGTAATGTTAGCAAGATTAAATATAATGATAAAATTTGTAAATTAAATAATGTATCATTAATAAGAATGAGTATAGTGATTAATTATTAATTAATAAATTAATCATCTTCTTCCATGTCCTTTGATTGGAGATTAAATTTATAGACAAAATTTGTAAACGAAATAATTTGTTCACAAATTTATGATGGTGTATTCAATTGAGTTTTTGAGTAATTTTAATTCTTTTTAATGAATCAAGGTGTATTTAATTAGAATTTTAAGTGATTATCTGAAATTCAAAGTGTATTCGATTATTTAAAATCCTAATTGAATACACCTAAATTTATGATAATTTTAATAAACTATCTTTAAATTCTAATTAAATACACTTTATATCACATCCCGACTAGGGTTCCACCACATCACGAGCTTGACTTAGCCGTAGCACGATATTGTCCGCTTTGGGTCCCGACCACGTTCTCACGGTTTTGTTTCTGGGAACTCACACGAGAACTTCCTAGTAAGTCACCCATCATGGGATTGCTCTCGCGCGAACTCGCTTAACTTTGGAGTTTCAATGAACTCCAAAGCCAGTGAGCCTCAAAAAGCCTCGTGCTAGGTAGAGATGAAAATCTACATATAAGGCTTACATGATCCACTCATCTGAACGATGTAGGATGTTACACTTTAATCACTTAAAATTCTGACTAATTATTCTAGATTCAATAAAAAAATTAAAATCCCTAAAATCTCAATTATACCTTGCCAACCCATCACCCCTTAAACTAATCACAACTGGGCAATATAATATGGGTAATAATAATATTATCAATTTTAGCATAAACAAACACTTCTGCTGCATCTATCAAGCCATTATTCTTTTCTTTCTTTCGTCGTCTACCGCTCTTTCACTACCACCGTTCCACACCAAAAGTTAGAGAATTTACAGAAAAGTTATTATCCATGGCGGCTGCTGCTGCCACCGCTGATGAAGAACAGCAAGTCCATGTTCTACTGGTGGTGGTGCTGCAAGCCCACATGAATCCCATGCTCAAATTCGCCACGTGCCTCGCCTCAAAGGGTGTCTATATCACTCTCGCCACCACCGAAACCGCTCGAGACACCCTTCTCAACTTCGACACCACCTTCACAATCCTACACCCCAAAATCCACCTCGAGTTCTTCTCCGACGGCCTCGCCGCCGAGTTCAACCGCGAGAAGGGCGCCGACGTCCTCACCACCCTCCAAGTTTCCGGCTCCAAAAACCTGTCCAACCTTATAAAAAACCTCACTTCCGACAATAAACTCGCAATCTCGTGCATAATCTTCAACCCCTTTGGACCTTGGGTTGCTGACGTGGCGGCCGATCACGGCATCCCCTGCGCCCTGCTCTGGAACCAATCTTGCGCGACGTTTTCACTTCTCTACAGATACGCCAAAAAAATCGAACCTTTCGATCCAAACTTGGAATTGAACGCAAAAAACATTCTGGATTGTCCGGGAATTCCGAATATAGAAGTTGGCGATCTTCCCACCACTGTTCTCCCGTCAACCCCTTTCCATTTTAAGAAACTGATATCGGATTCCGTCGGAAGCTCGGAGAAAGCCAAATGGGTTCTGGGGAATTCGTTTTACGAGCTCGAAAAAGGCATCGTAGACTCCATGGAATCGCTCATTCCGATTCGTCCAATCGGTCCGTTGGTCTCGCCATTCATACTGGGCAGAGCAGGGGAAGATGACGAAACCCTCCACATCGACATGTATGAGGCCGAAGATTCCTGCATAGAGTGGCTCAACCGGCAGCCAATCTCCTCCGTCGTCTACGTCTCGTTCGGCAGAGTTACCGTTCTGTCCCAGACCCAGATTGACAATATTGCCCTCGCATTGAAAACCAGCAAACGGCCGTTCCTTTGGGTGCTAAAGCCGCCAGCGGAGGGTTCCAAGATGGAAGTGGGAGAACTGCCATTAGGGTTTTTGGTGGAGACGAGGGAGATGGGCATGGTGGTAAACTGGTGCTCTCAGGAAAAAGTGCTTATGCACAAAGCAGTTGCCTGCTTTATGACTCACGGCGGTTGGAACTCGACGCTTGAGACGGTAGTGTCTGGTGTGCCGGTGGTGGTTTATCCTGAGTGGACCGATCAGCCCACCAATGCCAAGCTTTTGGCTGATGTGTTTGGTGTTGGTGTGAGGATTAGGGTTGGTGAGGATGGGGTTGCTAGCAGTGAAGAAATGAGGAGATGCATTGCGGAGGTTGTGGAGGGGCCAAGGGCGGAGGGCATGAAGAAGAGAGCGAAGGAGTTTAAGGCGGCGGCAAAAAAATCAGTGGAAGGTGGTGGTTCTTCTGACCGGAATATTGATCAATTTATCAGTGAAATTTCTGGGAAATCTTGATGGGAATTAGTTTCTTTTAGGAAGTGTAATAATTTGATTCCTCATTGGTCATGAATATGAAGAATGTACGACTGCAGATCCAAATCCAAACCATGATCTAGATATGCTCTGTTTTTTTTTTCCCTTATTTTAGTAGGGTTCAATTTTAAATGTTTTTTTTTTAAATGTATTTTTCTTGTTGAATAATATTTTCCTATCACTTACATTAGTTACATAGTATTATTATATGCCTATACACTTTGTTTGTGAGAACATTTTTTATTTTTTAGTATTATTATATGCCTATACAATTTGGTTTTGTGAAATTTCTTTGTTTCCCATCATTTGTTTTTGTGATAGAAGACTAAATAATCTTTTCATTTTTTTTAATTGATAAATAATATTTTATTAATAGATAATTTAGATAACCATGGACAAATATATTAAGGGTTTTGGTGGCTCCTAGACGATCCGGAAACACGGATAAGTGGTTGTGAGGACCTCCGAGGACCATCAAGTTTGAGCATGTGGTTGAGGCGAAGAGTGCATCGGCGGGCCGGCAGTTGCAAATTCTGCAAATAAGCAAAAAATAAAATAAAAGCAAGCCCTCTTGTTAAGCCACGTGAGGGAGACCTTTTCTAATTAAAAAAAGAAAGAGAGTCTATTCTCTTTCTTTATACCCAAGATCTCCACCCAATCCCATTTTGCACTCACTTTTCCTAATTGGGTAATTCCCAATTCCAATTTCCTTTTTCCTATAACCCCACCCAACCGACTCCAGGCCACCACCAACTGCTCCACGCCTCCATTTGTCTCCGCTCCAAGACCATCATCTGGTTCATTTCTCTTTAGTCTCCACCACCACTTAATTCCCTAATTTTTTAATTTAAGTAAGTTTTCTATTCCAATCTAAATTAATCATATAGGATGTTAAAGTTGATGTGTATTGGATGAAAAATTCAAATTCAAATTCACAGTAGACTATAGTTATTGTTAATTCATAACAGATTATAGGTATTGTTAATTTATAAATGATTATAGTTATTGTTAATTTGTTTACTTTGTTATGAAACCTTGTCGTCAACAAATTTAGTCTTTGTAGTTTGTAATGGTGTTTGTCCAACGATTATGAATGAAAAGTTGTTAGTTTATTGTATAATTTTTTTTTTTGAGATTTTACATTGAGAACACCCGATGTTAAAATTCTGAATCTGCCGCTGTATATAACGTATAATAGAAATTTCTTAATCAACTAGTTCAATTTTTTAATCTTCATTTGAAAATTATTCATGAAAAAAATCATTTTGAATTGGATATCGTTTAGTCATTTAAATGTATCAAATAAACTGATCGTCAATTTATTTGATAAATTTAAACGAGCTTTGATTTGAATATTTTTTGTAGACAATGATTTTCAAACAAAGAATAAAAAATTTAACGATTTAGATTATAAAAATTTTACGATAGAAATATATTATTTACAAATGAAAGAATGGAAGTATTATTTTTCTTTTCCTCTCAATAATATTCTAAACACCACATATCTATCTACGTTGGAAGCAAGTCGAATGGCACATACTACGGTTATTTGTGAAGTGCCAAAAGGCTAAAAAGAAGGTCATGATAAGGTTATTTGTCCATTGTCTATTTGTCTATTGTTTCATTGTCGACTTAGTATCGATGCACCAATTATTGGTGGCTTATTTTATGCATGTTAATTTAGTTGCTCAATCAATGAACTTTATGAACTTCACACGCACTCCTGATCTGGGATTTGAAGTTAGGGTCCCATGAATTTTGGGTCCTAGAGTTAAAGATTTGCGTTTTTGGGACGGAAAAAGCGCGCTTATTTTCAACTTGTTCAATGAGGAATTTCATGGAATATTAGTGGGTTTGTCATCACCGGATGAACTGCGCACATGTGCATAGATATCAACATATGTCAAAACAATTTATTGGGTGATATCAAGAGTATCTACCGAGTTCTGTCGACGCAACATGTGTTGCCAAGAAATGCCTAGTAAACATTACATCAAACACTTTGTGGGTACAAAAGAATTTCATCGAAACAATCAGAGAGTCTCTGAAGGACTTTTCACATACGTGTTTTCTGAACTCCAAGTAGCCCCGAGACCATAATTTATAACGCAATAAAGGACAAGGATTAAGATATTAACTTACCTGAATCCTTAGCCATGTACGTGTTGCTTTGTTGGACCACTCTCATGCTTGTGATCTTTTTCATGATTGATCATGTGAAGCTCCCCCAGTGTTGAGTCTCTAAGAGTATCCACACTAATAAATCTAGTAACGCATGATGGAGTGATTAATTTAAATGTGCTAGCAATATCTCTTACTTGGATCAATATAATATGAGCGTACTAAGGTGCTTTGGCTTAAGGTTGTTTTTTCTTCCTCTTTTTCTCTGAGGGATAAAACTGAATAATCTTAGTATATGAGAGTAAACACAAGGAGTATTTATACTGCACCTCCTTAGGGTTTGGCGCCTCGAGCTTTACGCCACACGTCAATCCTACTTACCCACTTTGGGTTTGTGACTTGAACCATTTTTAATTAATAAAACCAAAAAAATATTTAATTAAAACCATGTCCAATAGGCCCAAAAATTTAATCTAATATAATTATCAATTAATTATATCTTGGCATCACCTATATAACATTACTAGAACTTATCATAGGTGTAATGCCCTGCCCCGAAAACATTTGTTTCGGGATATAATTACCTGATAGGCCAATTTAACTCTTATTTATTTAACTACCATTAATCATAATTCTTTATCTAAATTTATTAATCATTCACAAAATCTATAACCAAAATTTAATTACCAAAACATAAGATTTAATTTTACAACTAATCACCAAGTTTCTTTTCTTAATACAAATTCCCAACAAAAGATTAATCTCAATTATTTAAGGCTGCATCTAACCTTGTTAGATTGCCTACGTACCATTGAGCGGGATCAAGTATTTCGTAGTTCACAATTCATCTCTAGTCCATTTTTGAAAATATTCAAGTGGTGGAAATATTCAGTGTTGAACTTTAACCATTGAATCACATTGTATGGATACTAATTACGGATTTAAAATATCGAATTCTATGTAAAAAGGCAATATCGGCCCACTGGCCACGTGCCGCTGCCTATGGCAGTTTCCGGTGAACGGAAACCTAATTTTCCGACTAAATCTAAAAATTACCAAATTTTACAAAATAGTAGAGTTCAATGAGAGGAACAACTTTCATACCTGGGTAGAAGTCCAATTCGGCCGGGAAACACCTCAAATCGCCCTCGAACCACCAAAAACCCTTGAATTTTGGTGTACTTGATTCAACTCCAAAACAGCTCCGACACCCCAACCAATGCATGTGCTTTGTTTTAGGCCTCAAGGGGAGTCTAATGGTAGTGGTAATTGGAGGAAAAAGTTTCAGAATTTGATGAATCTTCGCACGAACCCGTCGCACCCACCAATGGTTCTTCACCATTTAAAGTCCAAATTTTACCAATTTTAGGGTAGAATGGGTTGAAGGTCGTAGAGTGATTTCCAAGTGGTGGCTCGGCTTAAATCACCGGAATATGGCCGGAGGAGTAGTCGAAATCCGTCGGGTATCACCCATCCGCGGGTCGGATCGTAAGGAACCGGGAAGGGATCCATGATCCCGTGTTGCTTTCCCTCTTTCCCGTACCCTCCTTCCCCCTTTTCTGATTGGGCTTTCCCTTTCTCTCCTCTCCCTATTCGCCGAGCTCCTCCTCCTTTCCCTCCTGAAATTCCTCTTCTTTTTTATTTTTATTCTTTATTCTCTTTTTTTTTTCTTTTTTTTTTCTTCTGCCACTCACGTGACCTCCTTTTACCAAAACAAGGCTCCCATAAATCTGGAGCCTTCCAATTCCTAGCAAAATGACTATTTTGCCCCTACCTTCGTTCATTTATAACTCTTTCGTTATAATTCCATTTACAAACGGTTTGCGCCTACACATTCACTAGATCGAGCTTTATCCAAAGATGCCAAGAAATACAATAAAATATATGAGGATAAAAATACATCCTCGTATAATTACGTTAATCAACTAGGGGCATTTTCATTATTTTCCACTTAACGAAAAATTATACAACATAAATAATAATAAAATCGGAAAGCGGAATTTCACATTTTCCCCATTCGCAATTGATAACAATAAATTGATTTATTTTCGATTTTCTCCACATATTCATAATTATGAATATCAAATTCATATATTTAAAATTTTCAAGGTATTACAATAGGTGTGTGACCTCTTAGGTTCTAACTAAAGCCGCTAGTGAAATTAATTTAACTCCACAAACAATAAATGACACCTAGCAGTATGTCATGGCTACCTGGATTTGTAGAAGTATACGCGAACTAATCACAATATTCTTTTGAACCTTGATTGTAGTTACAATGCAATTCAGTTCTTCTGTCATCTATATTCCGATCAAGATTTGTGTGATATGGAACACTATTAAATAACATGTAATCATCTATGATCACCATGATGCATCTTAAGTTGAAGCATTTTCGGATGGATCTTCAAGTGGCTTTGAGGGATATTTGTGTAACATCCCACATCGACCAACAGAAAAGGGGTGATGTGCCTTATATGTACATGCCTACCTCCTTTAACACGAGGCTTTTTGGGAACTCGCTGACTTCGGATTCCTTTAAAACTTCGAAGTTAAGCAAGTTCGGGTAAGAGCAATCCTAGGATGAGTGATCCACTGGGAAGTTCTCACATGAGTTCCCATAAATAAAACCATGAGGGTGTGGCCGGGGCCCAAAGTGGACAATATCATGATACAGCGGAACTGAGACTGGGATGTGACAGAAAGGTATCAAAGCCACTTTGCTGTTCGGTGCGGATGTGTCGACGAGGACGTCGGGTTCCCCTTAAGTGGGGTGGATTGTAACATCCCACATCGACCAACGGAGATGGGGTGATGTGCCTTATATGTACAAGCCCACCTCTTTTAGCATGAGGCCTTTTGGGAACTCACTGGCTTCGAATTCCGTCGAAACTTCGAAGTTAAGCGAGTTTGGGCTGGAGCAATCCCAGGATGGGTGACCCACTGGGAAGTTCTTGCATGAGTTCCGAGAAACAAAATTAGCTTTTAGGGCACAATTCCAATAAAAACCTTTACAAAGTATATTCCAATTTTTTTCCTTCTTTCTTGAGAAAACAAAGACTTTACATA